ACCACAGCCCATAATGTGATGTTATGAACTGTCCCCCGAACCGGCAGAGGGCGCTCTTCTGCAGAAAGGTCAGCGGAAGCCCGTACAGTCTATGATAGAGAGCCTTTGTTAAAGTAACAGCAATCAACGTTTAGGTATAGGCTGCAAACAACCCGCGGTTTGTTCATAGTTCTCACCACGAATTGCTTTCTATTTCGTGTCATTGGTCTACGAGGGTAAGATTTGATCTATAAGGGACATGGGCCGGAGCAAGAGCCGAACTCCTCCACCGAGACGAGGTAAGAAACTTGAGTCAGGTATCGTTAACGTTTACACTACGCAGCTATGGCTATGTGGCCGTTAGCTGCCACAACGCTGTTTTCTCTACACCGGGAGAAAGAAATGAGAACAAATGTTAATTAACTTATTTTCTTTCCTTAACGCTGACTTTACACCTTAACACGTGACTCACTGCGTATAACTTGAATGCCACCTTTTTCTAACGCTCTAACGTAAAGTTAGATATTCACGTAACGTTAGCTTCCTTTGATAAGGAAGCTAACAGGAGAACTCTAAATTACTCTAGATGTGGGCTCGATGCTTTTCCGAAGCGATCGATGATATTTGGCTGGATGTCTTTTTGAGTAACGTTATGCCACTGTGTTCTGTGTTGTATTCTGGTTGACCTGGACCTCATGATGGAGCAGTGATAGTTTTCCTATAAAGAGTGTTTGGTCAGAGCCATATCTTTCATGCACAACAACAACTGTAACGTTATGCTGTTGTGTTCTTGCATACTCAGTAGAGTGATCAAGGGATGGAGAGTAAAAGAAATGTTATTATATAATATATAATATAATAATAAATGCATAAGTGAAAAAGTATTGGCATTTTCGGAGCATATTACCTCTCTGTCAAAATCTGACGCCAGCCACCTACCAATACCTTTTGCTTGTGCACATTTGTAAAAGAAAACTGTAGGTGCAACACTAAAATAGGACTCACTTGGTGCCAGTAACATTTTTACAAGTTGGATGATATTAGGATTAGAATGTTAAACATGTTGCAGAAAAGTCCAACAATGTGAAGGAGAAAATGCAGTGTGTGGATGGCATATTCCTTTAAGTTTTAATCCCAGATCCAGTTTGCTACTAATGTCATGATTGTTTCCTTTCCTGTAGAGAGAAGGCGTTCCCACTCAACTTCGGGGAGCGTGAGCGAAGGCGAAGGGAGAGAGATCGCTCTCGCTCTCGAGATCGGGAGACGCGCGCAGAGAGTCGCTCACGATCTCCTCACAGGAGGCGCTCGAGGTGAGGAAACGCCTTTTGCAGTTTTTGGAACACCGATAGTTTCTCTTTGCCACCGTTTCTGTTTTTGTGCCAGTCCATTATTTTTTTCTTGCTTCTGGTGTGCCATTTAGTTATGGCCTCTTTAAACATGTAGGAGAAAGGGTTGGGTATATTGTCACCAAATATTAGTGCTAACCTACTTCAGCTACTACCTATTACCAAAATCTGATCCCAAATCAGATAGGGCTTAGTGATTTGTGATAGAAAAGCATTGTCTTTTCAGATAGTTTGCAGTGCATTAATGGGGTCTTTGCCCTTGAGAACAAGCACACGTATCTGCATCCTAAACAGACTTTAAACAAACCATGAACAATATTCAGTAGTCGAGGAACCCTCCTGCAGCCATATTATTTTCCTCAGCAGGTCGCCTCCTCGACGTCATCGCTCCTCCTCCTCTCTCCTCAAGGCAGAAAGATGACGCAAAGATGTTAAGGACAAGCCAGCGAAGCCCATTCAGATCTCAGGTATTAGATGAATGATATGCTTCTGTTCTTGCTATATTCATATAAATTGAGGAGGATATTCAGGAGGGAAATGAAATGAGCACCGAAATGAAAATTCTTGGCCGAAGCCAAAACGAATATAAAGAAAAACTTTCCAGAATACTGAACAAAGTTTTTCTCACTTTTTTCCATTTATTTGCATTGCATTAATTAAATAGTCAAAATGATTTTACTCAGCGTTTCCCACAGGATTTGGAGAGACTATGGTGGGTGGGTCTGAAGCCTGATAGGGTCGGTAAAGTAAAATACATGTGTGTCAATTTACTTTTAATGGACACATGTAACATGTTATACTTTCTCTAAATATAATCAAATCTTATTTCATACTGATAGACACCTTATTTTGAAAACCAGACATTGTCACATGTGTATCATCGCGCAAAATTCATCAAGTCCGACCCAGTTTGATAAATAATGTTGTATGTGGTTCTCGTATCACGTAACTTGAAGACTTCACGGCCTCTCTTCAGGTAGGACTCTCATACTGCAACATTGTCTTTGTAAAGAGAGAAACTGACAGGATAAAGCGCTAACCTGCCTGTCAGCTGGCACTGGGCCGTTTCAGGATTTACCATAAAGGCTGAATACATGTGCACTCCAATATAGGGCGGCTAGCTTAATCGCCTTGTCACAAACGAGTGACGGAAATACTCAAAGTGGGTAAGACCGTTTTTCTGCCTTTTCTAAGAAGTCAGCCACAGATGGTGTGGATGTGCTGGGAGACAATTCAGCAGAACAGTGTCTGCAAACGACAATTTTTGCGTCTTTTCAGACACTTTAAAATGCTTGCACACTGCCGACATGTCAATGTAATTGTTGGTCAAAATTTATTCGGCCTTTGACTTATTAGGCCGAACACCAAAAGAGCTCTTTTTTTGCTATTTTGGCCGATTAATTTCGGTGCATCCCTAATATTCAGCTTTTTTGATGTGACATGACAAGTGCAGCATTGATTGTACCAGATTCAATACCATCATTTTTTTTTTTGACAGAGGAAGACATGCAGGGCAAGACAGAAGAGGAGATTGAGATGATGAAACTGATGGGTTTTGCTTCCTT